TGACGTTTGTTCATCCACTTGGTGGAAGGAGTCCATCATGTTGCCTCCTAGTTTGGTTGTCGTGGCTCTTGCATGAACTGACTTAGGATGTGAACAAAGTAAGTAATTTATGGTTTGGTGATTGTTAAGTAAATGAGTCGACCAATGAGACGCCTATATTGAGGAGGATCTGAAAATAAATCCCCTTCATCACTAGCCAAGTTGTGATTTTGCTCCATGGGAAAAGTAGCAGGCTTACAATCTAACATTCCACTTTCTTTTAAAATGTCAAGTGTATATTTTCATTGACATAAAAAAAAACCTGTATTGCCATGAGACAGATATAAACCAAGAAAATATGTAAGTGTCCCAAATTTTATCAATGCTTGTGATAGTTTTGCATACCAGCTACGTGATGCTTGCCTTAATCCATAAAGGGATTTATGAAGGCGACACACAAGCCTTTTGTCAAAGACTTCATATCCAAGAGGGATAGCCATGTAAACTTATTCACTTAAATCCCCATGTAGAAATGCATTACTAACATCCATTTGATGGAGTTCCCAACCTTTGGCTGCAGCAATGGTGATATGGCAACGTACTGTAGTCATTTTTGTGACTGGAGAAAACGTTTCTATGAAGTATTCCCCTTCAAATTGAGTATAACCCTTGCCAACTAAACGTGCCTTATATTAATCAATCTCTTCATTGGCTTTTTGCTTGAGTTTATAGACCCATTTACAACCTATCAGTCTTTTTCCCTTTGGAAAATGTTCCAAATTCCAAGTTTTATTATAATCTTAGGATTTAAGAGACCCATTTACAACCTATCAGTCTTTTTCCCTTTGGAAAATGTTCCAAATTCCAAGTTTTATTATAATCTTAGGATTTAAGCTTAACTCAACCTTACAAAACCGGCTTGTAAGGTGAGGGTTGCTTTCCACTTATATACTATTCAATTGCCTAATCTCTAGTCGATGTGGGATTTGGGTTTTTCCCAATACACCCCCTCACGTCCAACACTATTGAGCTTGGTACGTGGATAAATGATAGGTGGCCCTTTTTAATGATCTAAGATTGGCAGGACTTGAATTTTTTTTTTCTCAATACACCCTCTCATGCCCATGGTGCATGTATCAATGATGGGTGGCTCATTTATAATAGATATAGATAACTTTGATACCATATTGAATTATGGTCAATGACTTGCCTTCATTCATTCACTTGGAAACAAATATATAATCGTTTCAATTACAAGATTCCCGTAATAAATAAAGTAACAAACTACGTAACTGAAGAGATAAACTTTTCTTACCCTAATAAAGCTAATCTATTTACAACCAATTTATCTACAAGTCATGAGCTATAACTAACTTATCTTTATTAATTATATATTAATTTATACATTTCAACTAGTGATCTACTGGATTGGATTCGACCAATAAACTTTGACCGAATCAATCACCCATCCGATTATTAAAGCATTGCATTTGTCAAATATTAATAAGCATAAATTTTCAGAATATTAAGATATTATTAAATTCGTTTGTGACTACCTTTATTTATTTATTTATTTTTGGACAATATAAATATATTTCCCATCTCACTTTTATTAACCGAGACTAATCTGCTTCATGTTTCGACCGAATTTAAACATTTGGCCTTATAATAGGAATAAGTTAGCATCATCAGTGGTATTATGCCGGTGTATGTAAACAGAAAAATAGTAGCACATAAAATTAAAAAATCGTCCTAAGCATATTTTGGATAACTGCTTTTAGACATGCCCATGGAAGCTTAATCACGTACATATAAAATGACCAGAGAAATCTCATCTAGTTCTTTGAGTGGCAAACAAGCAAGACGAAAGTGCATGTCCAAGTAAGCATATATTCGAGAGATAAAACACTCCATCTAATTTATACTACTATCCCAATAAATGCAAATCGAGGCTAGTTCTTTATCCTTTGAGCGCATTGCTATTTTACTAATCTAGATGCTACAAAGTGACACCAACAAAATTAAAGTGACAACAGAATCAACTTTAGTTCATGTTAATGCCTTCTCACTTTAAGGCAGCCACCTCCTTATATTGCAATCTATGAACCAATTCCTCTTCACTCTTCTCAATTTGTGAGATTTGGCTTTGGTGCTACAATGGATTCCAGAGCTTACACTCTTAGAGTCACCATTGCAATTCTTTGCATCTCAGTGCTTGCTTCCACTCTTTTCCCTGTGTGTGGTAAAGCATATTAATATGATACATATATACCTAATTACCTGTCTAGCTTCATATTTGGATACTAATTTTGCCCCCTTTTTAAGCTATATGAAATTTTTAATTTTTAATTTTTTTTTGTTAATTTGCAGATGCTATGAATCATGGAAGAGGTACAGTGGGTCACAAAATCCGTAGAAACTTGAAGAAGATAAAAATAAAACCTGTAAAACGTTTAAACAGGTACTCATCATTTTGGTACTCAGATTTTGATTCATATGGTTCGCCTTCTTCCCTACCCCTACCATCTTTTAATTCACTATCACCACAACCTACACCATCAACTTCTATTGCTCCTTCATTGCCACCTCCAAGCATAGGTGGCATTGGTAACCCCTCTCTCCCAGCATCTTCACCTGTTCAAAGCCCACCTCATGGCGTATTTGGGCCACCAAGCCCAAAAAGCATTCTTAGTTCACCACCTCCATCTCCTTATCCTCCGAGCCCACCAAAGCATTCTCCAAGCCCACCAAAGAGTGTTCCGAGTCTAAGCCCACCACAAGTGTACCTGCCACCTGTTGTGTTCCCACCACCGCCTTCACCTTCCGCGCACCGCAAAAAGCCACCGCAGTATACTCTTTGGTGCGTGGCGAAGCCCACAGTTCCTGATCCAATAATTCAAGAGGCCATGGACTATGCCTGTGGCTCTGGCGCAGATTGCAAATCAATTCAGCCCAATGGGCTCTGCTTCCAGCCCAACACTTTGCTGGCCCACGCTTCTTATGCCTTCAATAGCTACTGGCAGAACACTAAGATTGGTGGAGGCACTTGTGATTTTGGTGGGACTGCCATGCTCGTCACCGTTGATCCAAGTAAGTATTTCTGCTATATTCAGAATTATTACTAGCATTTTCTTTTTAATTTATTCTTTTTTATTGAAGAAAACAAATTATATATTTACTCCGTTATTGAATCATGAATAATTATGTATATATTATGTTTGGTGTACAAAATAAAAAAATAAAAATAAAAAAACTTTTTCGATAACAATATTAGAAGTTGTGATTTCTAATTACGATGCAAATTTTACCATGGAAGGAGTAACTAATAAATATGGGTTTTAATAATAATGTTCACAGTCAACCTATAAAAAATCATCATTAGTTTAATTTTTTATGAGATTTCTTTTTTGAAAAAAATAAAAAATATTACAAAAATGGTCTTATAACATAGATTAAACTTAAATTCTCATACTTTTATTATCTTAGTTTCTTCCTCAAACAACTATTAGGCCAATCTATCTTAATGATTGATAAATTTTTAAGATAATTATTATAAAAGTTAATAAATTCACTATATATTGTAATATGGGATTCCATGACAAGAAGAGTGTGTGCATATAAAGAGAGAGAAGAGAAATTTATTTACTTTAAGCGTAGGTTTACCAAAATTTATTTCGTTCAATAATTCATATTTTATATTAAATTTTAACGATTCAATCGTTAAATTTAAAGTTCTTAATGCATAAATCAAATTTGTAAATTTTTAAGAAATATGAGCATCATTTGATACTTTATTTCATTAATTCAAATTAACAAATAATCATAAAATCATTTTATACGTTGATTTGAAATAATGAAACGAAGTATCAAATGATTTTTAAATTTTTTAAAAATTTACAAACTTAATTTATATATTAAAATTTTTTAATTCAATTGTTGAATTGTTGATATTTAATCTAAAACATGAGTTATTAAATAGAGTAAATTTATATAGACTTATTCTTAGAGTAAACGGATACCTTCATATATGTGTGTGTATGTATGTATAAAGAAAGACCTACTTACTTTAAGAGTAAGTTTAAGCAAACTTACTCTACTAAATAACTCACGTTTTACATTGAATATTAACTATTTTACCGTTAAATTAAAAATTCTTAATTCATAGATCAAGTATGCAAATTTTTAAAAGTTTTGAAAATTATTTGATACTTCATTTTATTAATTTAAATTGACAGATAATCATAAAATCATTTTATATATTAATTTGAATTAAAGAAACAGATTAACCAATAGTTTTAAAAATTTATAAAATTGATATGTGCATTAAGAACTTTTAATCTAGTGGCTGAATTATTGAAATTTGATTTAAAAACGAATTATTGAGTAAGTCTAAGTAGACTTACTATTGGAATAAATGAATTTTCTTCTCTCTCTCTCTTTATATATATATATATATATATATATATATATATAATATGGAGAAGGATAAAATTACTCCAAGAGTAACTCTCAGTAAAGTTACTTCACTTAATAACTAATAGTATATGTTAAATTTCAATGATCTAATTATTAAATTAAAAGTTCTTAAAATAAGTTCACAAATTATCAAAAAATTAAAAACCCTACGATACTTCGTTATATAAATTAAAATCAATGTATAAAATACTTTTATGATTTTTTGTTAAGTTGAATCAATAAAAAAATTATTAAATAATTTTTAAATATTTTAAAAACTTTGTAAATTTGATTTATATATTAAGAACTTTTAATTTAATGATTACATAGATCATTAAAATTTAACATACACTATGAGTTATTGAGTGAGATAATTTTATCGGGAGTTATTCTTTTATATATATATATATATATATATTTCTCTCGCATGATATGTTGTTGGAAAATATATTATTAAAAATATTTTTTTTACAGTTTTTATTTGCATTTGGAAAGTGCATCACTTGTCTTGACCGTGAGTCTAAGACCATATGGTGTGCTAAAAAGTAATTAAAGAAAACATAATTTGATTAAATTATTATTATAGTTATTTTTTTATTAATATAATAGTTGAAAATAGATGTTGTGACAATGATAATCTATATGGTGCCATGAATACTAAATCATTTGTCCATAAACCACAATGTTCATTTATTCTTCTTTTCCTTGAACCTTTCATCTGGGATCCCTTTCCCTTTAAGCGTCACTTGAACACTACTAGCCAATAGGGCTTTTTTCTAAATCCTAACAAGGTCAGGTTTAGTACTAAAAAGGTAGAAAGTAATCGATTACATCTAAAAATACAAGATCATTAGGGAGGCGTTGCGGAAACTCGAAAGTTTTAGCACTAAAACTAAAAGCACATTATCCCTTAGAGATAACTGCGCAAATATGAAAAAAGATTAATTAACATAGCATTGGAAAAATCTAAAACTGTTCGTATAATATCGTACTCACCAGACAAATTTTCTGTATAAAGCCAAGACTTTGTCGTATATTCAAGGCCGTGGCTGCTACAAGGCCAATGAGGCAGCAGCCTCAGGCCCCATTCCATATTTTAATTATATATATATATATATATATGTGTGTAATACTAAAAATTAATTTTAATTATTAAGTAATAATAGTTATTATATTATTTGTATCAATTTATCAGTAAGATTATATAATTTAAAAATATGTAAATGATAATATTGTATAGATTATGTGAGACCTTTTATTATTCATTTAAAAAATTATTTTACGATTACTTTATACTAAAAAATGACATTAAATTGGATATTTAGATTAAGTTTTATAAAATAATATTACTTTTCTAATACATATTTTAATGAAAATAATAAGGATGAGTAATTCTTTTAGTTAAAAACTATTTCTTTTAGTTTCGAATGTTTTGTATATATATAAGGTGAATTTATTTTTTTTTATTAACAATTTCTTTGAAAATCAAATATGAAATTACTTTGAACTTTTAATTTGAATATCAATATTTGATACTTTTAAAGGAAAATAAATTAAAAAAATATTGTATTAATAAATTTAAATTTTAGTGAACATTTTTAGTGAGTTGAGCTTCATTTTTTTTCTTTCTTTCTAAATTGAAGGTACTAAAAAATACTAACAAAAGAAAGTAATATACTATTAGAAATATTAAATTATATTAAAATATTCTTTTTAAATGCATGTAATGTTTATAAAATATTATTAATAATACTTGTCATTGTTGTCATTTTTAAAAGTTATTGTTTCAAAATTAAAACTTTTAAATTCCGTTTGATATCAATTATATTACAAGACAGTGTTTGAATAAATGATTGTAGGGTAAAATTTTGAAATTACTTTATTATTAAATTTTATTAACAATTTTAGTACTTCTTTTCAAGAACAATTTTAGTATTAAAATTTTAGAAAACTGAACTATAAATTCATGAGAGTATAATATTTAAAAGTGAATTATTAGAATTGATTCTAATTATGAGAGTTATAATAGTATGCATAAGATACTAAATTTAAATTTTATTATTATCATTATTATTATTATAATAAAATAATAAAATATAAAATTTTGTTTTAAGCCTCAAAATTTGTTGACACCGCACTGCGTATATTTCACATCGCAATTCGCAAGCTGCTTTTGTTGACAAAAGCGTGTCACTTGTTTGCGTACACATTTCATTTTCACAATTCGTCGTTTTATGGTGGCAATTTTTGAACCTGTGGGCTAATGCTACTATACACTGACTCTTAAAACCACGGTTTTGCGCAGGCTATGACAAATGCAACTTCATGTTGACTTAGCTGACACCTTGCTTTATAGCACATTATTTGGAGACATGTTCCATATTCCCTCATCCCAACATGGATTTTTTGTGCAACAATAATTTAATTAATTCCCCGGCCCAACAGTTATTGGAGCTACCTAGGTTGTCTTTTTGCCCTTTCTTTTGGGACTATTATAGCTGTCACATTTGGAAGTATCCTATCTTTTGTAATAATTTCATTACTTTTACTACCATTTCGTTATCATGTCCGTTTGGTAAAATATTTATAGAAAAAATACTCCCAAAAGCATTCCTTTTCAGGTAAACCATATCGCGTCATACATTGGGAATTAGAATGCGTTATTTTTTATAACTTGAAACAAACGTTCATTTTATTTTCTAATTTGATGGCAAATAGGAGAAGTGGAAGTTGTTATCCTCCTCGGATTCACCAATGCTTGGACCTCTTCAATGGAGATTGAAACCGTAGGTAAGAACACTTGAATGGAAGAAGTTTTCGGACTAAGGATTCCTAGACTATAGATGGAAGCATCCAAGCTTAAGGAATCAAAGGTAAGCTCACTTCAAAAGGTAGGAAACCTAGCTAGGGTTCCTAAAAGTGATGGCTCTCTCTCTCCGTGACTTTTGGAAGAAACTTGGCAAAGATATGCTCTCAAATTTCTGAAGTTCAAAAGTGAGTACAATGTGTGAGGATGGAGCTTTTATATTTCCGGAATTTAGGTCACACTTGGCGCCACATGTGAGGCCTCCACATTGGTTGATTGGATTCTTTTGTTCTTTTTTTTATAACTATTTTGAAACATAATGCTCTGTATTTTCTCTTTTTTCCAGCCACTAAACCTTTAAAATTTGAATCCAAAAGAAATAGTGCACTAGGAGTAGGATGATTCACTTAAAATTTCAAGTAACACAAAGTTGTTTGTTTCAAGAATTTTATAGAAGGTGATTTGAAAACTTAAGTACACAATGGAAACCTAACACTAAAAAATTTGCTAGAACTAATAGCAAATTATGAACTCAATTAGGTAAAAAAAAAAGCACATATAGGTAGGCACAAAGATTATAAGCAAACCGAGACCAAATAGTAGACAACACAATGTTGGGCCTAGTTTTGGGCTTCATGGGCCTTTGGGCTTTTGGTACCCAATATTGGGCTCATTTTTATTCTTGTAATTTTTCCTATTCATTGTATTTCATTGACCATTGTATTTAGGTCATTAGATTAGGACTTAAGGAGGATTTTTAGTTTAAGTGAATTAGGCAAAACTAGGTTTAATTTAGTATGCATTTAAGTTGAATTTTGAGTCACATGGATGGTGCCACCTTGGCTGAACATGTGTGACTCAAATTCAACCCTAAATGCACACTAAATCAAACCTAAATACACCTAGCACTCATGGGACCGGTCATACACATGTGTGACAAGATTTGAATTCAAATCTTGGCGCCAATGTGGAGGCCTCACATGTGGCACCAAGTGTGACCTAAATTCTGGAAATATAAAAGCTCCCTCCTCACACATTGTACTCACTTTTGAACTTCAGAAATTTGAGAGCATTTCTTTGCCAAGTTTCTTCCAAAAGTCACCGAGAGAGAGAGCCATCACTTTTAGGAACCCTAGCTAGGTTTCCTACCTTTTGAAGTGAGCTTTCCTTTGATTCCTTAAGCTTGGATGCTTCCATCCATAGTCTAGGATTCCTTAGTCCGAAAACTTCTTCCATTCAAGTGTTCTTACCTACGGTTTCAATCTCCATTGAAGAGGTCCAGGCATTGGTGAATCTGAGGAGGAGAACAACTTCCACTTCTCCTAGTATTTGCCATCAATTTTGGTATCAAGAGCAAGGTTCTTCTTAAAGAAAGCTAGCACACAATTAGGAAGGTTCCTAGATAGGTACCAGAGTAGATTAACAAAACAAAAAAAATTTGGAAGTAATTGAACAAGTATAAGCAAACTAGTAGTCCAAAGAAAATTGTGGAATCAAGTGTGTTTTCCTTAACTTGTTCTTCTCGGCTTTTGCTCTTAAAAATTCTTATATATTTTTTTATTCTTTTATTTTTCTGAATTCAATTGTATATTCCAGAGAAGACACTTGCCTTTTGTTTTCAAAATTTTCACAATTCCAATGTATAGAAACCGAGACTACTAGATTGACAAATTTTAAGTGAAAATGGATGAACTAGTGCACTAGTTTTTAGGTTTTTGATTGGATTCTTTTGTTCTTTTTTTTATAACTATTTTGAAACATAATGCTCTGTATTTTCTCTTTTTCCCAGCCACTAAACCTTTAAAATTTGAATCCAAAAGAAATAGTGCACTAGGAGTAGGATGATTCACTTAAAATTTCAAGTAACACAAAGTTGTTTGTTTCAAGAATTTTATAGAAGGTGATTTGAAAACTTAAGTACACAATGGAAACCTAACACTAAAAAATTTGCTAGAACTAATAGCAAATTATGAACTCAATTAGGTAAAAAAAAAAGCACATATAGGTAGGCACAAAGATTATAAGCAAACCGAGACCAAATAGTAGACAACACAATACAAAAGAAAACTCTTTGGAGCTTATCCATAAGCTCCCTATTATAATAAGAAGTTATGTGTCTTCTCCTCATAGCACTCCTCAATTCATTCCAATAAACAATAGGAGGGTCATTATGAAGTCTCCTCTCTCTTTCCAATGATGTCCACCAATACATAGCTTGTCCTCGGGAAGCTAAGGTGGCTAAGGGAACTTTTATTTCTTCACCTACTTGATGACAAGTGAAGATTTGCTCCACTTTCATTTCCCAATCCAAGCAGGCATCAACATCCTCTTTTCCATGAAAGTAAGGGAGATCAACCCTTGATTCCCTCACTTTGGGTTCCTTAATGACTCTTCTAGGCATGGGTTGGTAATATTCATCAACATTCAAACTACCCACATCCTCTTGGCTTGTAGAGACATTGGAACTTTTAGTGGAACTCTTTTGACTTTTTCTTTTTTTAAGTTTTTTTAAAAGTTTTTCTTCTTGTTGCTTAATTTTGTTTATCTCTTCTTCAAGAGCAATAAGTTGTACTTCTCTTTCAATCTTTTCTCTTTCTTTTTGAAGTACCTCTTGTTGTCTCCATAGTTTTAGTGCCTCAACCTCCTTAACAATTTTAGAAAAACTTTTAGGAGATTCAAGATCACTATCACTTTGAGAAATATGACTCATGATTAAGCAATAAGAAATTTATATGCTATGTAAAAGAGATAAAATATTTTTGGTCTTTTCTAGGAACAAAAATAGCACTTGGAAGTATAAGTGTACAAATTGCACTATCAAGGGAGGTGAGCTACTAAGAGCCACTTAATAACCAAGCCTTTTTAAGTGGAAATCACTAAACTCCTTTGTGGTATTTTCAATTCCACAAAAATTTTCACAAAGATTTTTATGTTGTATGCTTTTCACAATTTGTTTTTGAAGCTATCTAAACGTGAACAAGTAAATCTACTCAAGTCTAGACAAAACAAGGCAGCAAAGTAAACAAAATTAAAGATCAAACAACTTAAAGGAAGCAAGGTTAAGTAACTAGTCGTTTTGCCTTAAGTGGAAGCTTGAAACATATGAAATTTCCAAGCCACTTCCATTAGCACTACACGTGAGTGAGCTACCAAGGGTTAGATATACTTGACCAGCTTCTTAGTACTCCCTCCAAGCTTTACAAATTGATTAAAAATACAAGAGAAATTGCAAAAAAAATTAAACTACACTAGGAAACAATTTTTGGCGGCTTTAGTGACCAATTAGTGACGGATTTGCTGTCTAATTTTTCTAACACTTGTTTAAGTGTCTCAATCCGCCACTAATCTTTGTTTTTGCTTGCTCCTGGATCCTGCACAAATAACACAACAATATGATTAATGTAGGCTGCTCACAAGGTTAAGGGAATGATCACTCTTGTGAAGGTAGTTTAGGAAAGTTTTGGTCACTAAATTAGGTCAAATTTGAAAGTCTTTTGTGTCCAAAGATTTTCCTACTTTTTGTTGAGTCAATGTTTGATCCTTAAGCAAGGATTTGAGGACACTTCCAGCACAAAATTTTTAATCAAAGAAAACAAGACAAGCAACAAAAGCACAACTTATAAAGCTTATACCAAAAAATTGATGAGTAAGGTGTTTATGACAAGACTCAAAGATATCCAACAATGAAAGCTGAAAAATAAGACTCCAAAGAAAGCTAGCACACAATTAGGAAGGTTCCTAGATAGGTACCAGAGTAGATTAACAAAACAAAAAAAATTTGGAAGTAATTGAACAAGTATAAGCAAACTAGTAGTCCAAAGAAAATTGTGGAATCAAGTGTGTTTTCCTTAACTTGTTCTTCTCGGCTTTTGCTCTTAAAAATTCTTATATATTTTTTTATTCTTTTATTTTTCTGAATTCAATTGTATATTCCAGAGAAGACACTTGCCTTTTGTTTTCAAAATTTTCACAATTCCAATGTATAGAAACCGAGACTACTAGATTGACAAATTTTAAGTGAAAATGGATGAACTAGTGCACTAGTTTTTAGGTTTTTGATTGGATTCTTTTGTTCTTTTTTTTATAACTATTTTGAAACATAATGCTCTGTATTTTCTCTTTTTTCCAGCCACTAAACCTTTAAAATTTGAATCCAAAAGAAATAGTGCACTAGGAGTAGGATGATTCACTTAAAATTTCAAGTAACACAAAGTTGTTTGTTTCAAGAATTTTATAGAAGGTGATTTGAAAACTTAAGTACACAATGGAAACCTAACACTAAAAAATTTGCTAGAACTAATAGCAAATTATGAACTCAATTAGGTAAAAAAAAAAGCACATATAGGTAGGCACAAAGATTATAAGCAAACCGAGACCAAATAGTAGACAACACAATACAAAAGAAAACTAGGTTAAACAAGCCATTCAAGGAATTTGCAACATATAAGAACTAAACACAACTTACTAAGAAAAAACAAGGATTCAAAAACAAAAATCTAATGCAATGGATGAAGTCCAATCACGGACACATGCTAAGAAATGAGAGACTCAAACAAATACAAAAAGATGCACAAGCAAATAGGTCCTAAACATATTGATTGTGGAAAGAAATTCAAAATACAATCAATCAATGGATCTATGGATAGAAAAATTTTCAAAAACAAATAGATCCGAAATGAAACTCAAACAAGACATACAAGAACACAAAGACAACAAGACAAACGGACCAAAAAAATTAAGGACACTTACCTCCAAGAAGAACCTTGCTCTTGATACCAAAATTGATGGCAAATACTAGGAGAAGTGGAAGTTGTTCTC